TGTGTCACCCACCATACCCTCTGTGTCAACCCACCATACCTCTGTCACCCACCATACCTCTGTGTCACCCACCATACCCTCCGGGTCACCCACCATACCTCTGTGTCACCCACCATAGCCACCCACCATACCTGTGTCACCCAATACACCTCCAGGTCACCCACCATACCCCTGTGTCACCCACCATACCCTCTGTGTCACTCTACCATACCTCTGTGCCCCACCATACCCCTGTCACCCACCATACCTCTGTGTCACCCACCATACCCCTTGTCACCCACCACACCTCTGTGTCCCCACCATACCTCCAGCCACTTACCATACCCTGTGTCACCACCATACCTCTGTGTCGCCCACCACCACCTCTGGGTCACCCACCATACCTCTGTGTCACCTACCATACCTGTGTCCACCGTCACCCACCATAATCTCCACCCACCATACCTCTGTTCACCCACCATACCTCTGTGTCACCCACCATACCTCTGTGTCACCCACCATACCTCTGTGTCACCCAATCACCTCTGTGTCACCCACCATACCTCCAGGTCACCTACCATACTCTGTGTCACCCACCATACCTCTGTGTCCACCACCATGCTCTGTGTCACCCACCATACTCCTGTGTCACCCACCACACCTGTGTCACCCACCATACTCTGTCAACCACACCCTCTGTGTCACCCACCACCATCACCCACCATATCCCGGTCACCCACCACACCTGTGTCACCCACCATACCTCTGTCACCCACCATACCTCTGTGCACCCACCATACCTCAAGGCCACCCACCATACCTCTGTGTCACCCACCACACCCTGTGTCACCCACCATACCTCTGTCACCCACCATGCCTCTGTGTCACCCACCACACCTCTGTGTCACCCACCATGCCCCAGGTCACCCACCATGCCCCCAGGCCACCATACCTCTAGTGTTCCCACCATACACCTCTGTGTCACCCACCATACCTCTGTGTCACCCACCATACCTCTGTGTCACCCACTACACCTGTGTCACCCACCATACCCCTGTGTCACACCCTCCACACACCCACCATACCTCACACACCCACCATACCCTGTCACCCACCATACCCCACCCACCACACCCCTGTGTCACCCACCATACCCCTGCCCACACACCCTCTAGGCACCCACCATACCCTCCACACACCCACCATACCTCCAGGCCACCCACCATACCTCCACACCACCATACCCCTGTGTCACCCACCATACCTCACCAACGACACCTCCAGGTCACCCACCATGCCCTGTGTCCCACCATGCCTCTGGTCACCCACCATACCCCTGTGTCACCTACCATACCTCTGTGTCACCTACCATGATGCTTCATTCTTCACCTACAGTGCTGTAAGTGCCTTTTACAGTTAGTAATTACATGTACACATATGGGTCAGTCTATTTTTTATTGTATTTTTTGTAGGAGAGAGTGCCTCGATAAGTCGGAGTTTGGGATAACTCGGCACTAGAGACCCATATAAGTTATCGAGGGTAATATATAACAAATTTAGAGGGTATCCACCACCTCAAAAACTCTTACCCTTGATATATCTCTGTACTGCACACTGTCACAAGAAATTAAAGCAGATATATAAAGAAATAATAAGCCTTAAATAAGACACATTGTATGATGTGTAGATAAATAGGTATGTCAAGTCTCTACCACTCTTGGTCCATCAACGCTTATTATGCCTTGTTACATCATCAAACTGAGCACAAGAGGAGCTATCACTGTGTCTAGGTTTGATTACATACACCAAGTCAATAACGACACATGGTAAGTGCAGAGAGGCTGGAGGAAGTAGTGCAGAGTCTTGTGGCAAGAATTCACCATGCCACTGCCCTCCAAATTCAAAAACAGCTCTGTCACTTTTCTCCTGATTGTTCGATCTCCGAGGTTTCAACAAAACTTGGGTATTTCATATGTAATTGCGGTTATGCGAATCTGTTAATAGGTTTTGAAAAGTAAGATGTTGGAACTTATGTAATGTAACTCATTTACGTCAATTGAACCTCAGGTACAGCGGAAAGTGAAACCGTAGTGAACAACAGAACATATGGGATTAATTCCAATAGAGACTGGCCCGACTTTAAACCCACTTTTTCCCACACAATACCTATGTTGTAGTAAAATAACATCTATTTTTATGATGGTATGCTCACACAATATTTAAAGAAATACAGTCTGAGGTTAATGTCCATTCAAATAATGGACTCAAATCCCCTCTTCCCAGCTCACTAGCTCCTCTCGAGAAATGTTGGGTGAAAAAACTAGATTTTAACGTTTAGTAATAAATAATACCTCAGACTAAAGTAGGATAATATAATTGACATTTCTGGATTCCTAGTGAATATTATAACAAAAGATAAAATATTTGCTTTGTGTAAACTAAGTTACTTTGTATTACATTAGATCTAAAATATTTATGTCTAATGCAAAATCCATGATGTTTATATTCAAAATGATCATCATATTGTAAGAATTCCAGCAATGTAAATTATATTCTGTTATTGTATGAATTTTATGAGCTAAACTTATATCTTTTATATCTTCAGTAAATAAACAAAGAAATATTCTTCGGGCACAACGATCTGTCAATCAAAATACTCCGCCATGGGTCGGGTCCTCCTCCTCCTCCTCCTCCTCCCTCCTCCTCCTCCCAGAGTTTTGGGAGAAAATATTTTTAGTAATAAATAATAACTCAGACTAAAGTAGGATATAATTGACATTTCTGATTTCGTAGGTCAGGAATACTTTGAATGTAAACTTCATATATTCTGCACAAAGGATAAAATATTTGCTTTGTGTAAACCAAATTATTACATTAGATCTAAAATTTTATGTCTAATGCAACCATGATGTTTATATTCAAAATGATCATCATATTAAGAATTCAGCAATGTAAATTATATTCTGTAATTGTATGAATTTATGAGCTAAATAAAAAAATTTCACTTACAGAGTAAGGAGTATGATATAGATCCGCGGAAAGTGAAAGTCCAGTTCTGGCAAGGTACCGCGTAAATGAGAAATCGCGGAAAGTGAAACCGTGTAAAGCGGGGTAATACTGCATATTTAATTTATAAATGTACTGTACTGTATTAAACTTTGTTTATAATTATGAAATTAAAATTGCTGGTATTTTATTATCTTACTCATGATAAATTTTTCAATGATCAGGCAAACCAAGCAAGACAGTTGGAGAGTATAAGTGATGCTGAAGATGTGAGCGAGTGTTCACAGTTGTTCCTCCATAGTACCAGTCCCCTCAGTGAGTGTTTACGCATAGTAGATCCGAGACCTTACTTCACACACTGTATTAATGGCCAGAGTCATCCAGCATTTACTGATGAAGATCTAAATTCTCCCTGTATTGCCGTATCTTCCTATCGCACCCAGTGTTGGTCTCGAGGAATTCAATTGCCAGAACTGGAGATGTGTAAACCTAGTAAGTAATTAAATGATTTATGGTTTTCACTTTTTAATTATTAACCTTTATGTTCCATTAATACTATATTTTTTCCAGTACTGTAAATCCTTTAACTTTACCTTTATTTTAAGAAACTTTAGTTTAGTTTTGAAATATTTTTAATGAGGTTTTAGAGAAAAGAAGATTGTGTAAAGATTTTTAATGAAAAATGTCCAGATAATCTCTATGATCACACACTGGTATTCTTAAAACATTCTTTCCATTGACAGACACTTGCAAAAAATTCTTTAGCAAAATTTGTATTCAAGAAAATTTCCTTCCCTCAGTGACATAAGAATTCTTCCTTTGAACAGGACAAATTACTGTAATTTGAATGAAATATTGGGACCATCCCTTCAAAAATTCTTCCACATTTTATTGTCCCCTATGTTCATTGAGTGTGCTGAATAATGATAAATAAGTTCTGCAAAGTCTCGTATAGTAACCATATTTCTATTAACATAATACACCGGTAATCCAATTTATTGTGGTAATATAAATAATATTAACAAATTTTTAAAACAGTTTCCTGCGTCCATTGCAATATTCATCCCATCAAAATGTCGCTAGTGTACTACATCACCACGTTCCTGTGATGTGCCCAACCATTGGTAAATATTAGTTTTATATCTACCACGGCATTTTGAAGTAAATTTATTATCAGAGAATGCAGCTGAATTTTTGTTCAATACTAAGCTGATAATTTTTTTTTTTTCCCGAGACAATATGTTGTATTTCTAGTTCAGTTTTCCCCTTTTCAATGATGATAATCATTTCTTGTGTAAATTATTTTGAGCAGTGGTTTAAGACAAAATTCTTAACCTAGACTCCTACTAGGCTATGTGCCATTGAAACATTAACAAGCCTTCCTAAACTTACCTATGTGTGGGTATGTAATCTATAGCCAGTATTATTTTGGCTGTGGGGCACAACCCCATGCATAGATAAGGTTTGTCATGGTTTGAGCTGGGCTCCATAATTTCAGGTTTTCTTGAGCACTGTACAAGCAAAAAAAAAAAGCACAAGAAGTGATTATCATCACTGAAAAGAAGAGAGAAAAGAACGGTTTCATCTTGGAAATTGGAAAAAGTTACCAGCCAAATATTTCCCAAATCTTATTATACTAAAATTTATCTCTGAACACCACAATGGGCATAAAATGAAAATGAACCCAGTGGTACGGTACATTATCCCAGAAGAGCCTTACAACTAATGTGTAAATGTGGTAAAAACTTGGGTTTATTTACAATTATGGGGTTCCAGTACATAAACTGTGGATGCAGTGCTTCTCGTGGAGGAAAAGGGCTACCAGCAGAGGATTTCAACTTTTTAGTGCAAAGAATTCTTTATGGATGGTGGAGGTGAGAGAAATTCCTCCGAATGGAAGTAATATTTGGCAGATGGAAGATCTTTTTTAATAATACCAGCTACAGACTGTAAGCAGACACATGATATGTACACAAATACACACAGTACAGTAAAGCCTCAAATAACGACGGTAATGTGTCCTCTAATATTGCAGTGTAAGGTGGATCATCGTATCGTGAATCATCAATTACCATTAAAATAAAGCGATAATAAGAATGTGTTCCCCAGTGTGATCTTTAATATCTTTTGTGTGGCTTTTTACCCTATTTTTTCCCCCCAAACAATACAATTAATGAAAAATGACAACTATATTCTTTAAAAGGTGTTTCTGAATGCACCTTATACAATATAAATCACTAATAATATGATCACACAAGCGGAGATGGGACACCATTGTTGTTGTCAGTGTTTACACCCATAATGTCAGTTATCCATCTGAAACTGAAGAAAATAAGACCCTGGTTGTTGCTGTAGTAAAATTAAGGTAAAAAAGCCGTTTTTTTTCTAAAAACCAGTTTTTATGATATAGCTCGGAATGCGACGCTTCAGCATGTTACCTAGGTATGTTAATTCCTAGCTAACTCGCCAGGCCAACACACAGGCAATTAAAACATTAATAATTACTTAATAAGTAATATTAGGAGGACACGTCACTACCTGGCATTTAATTGCACTTCTCAAAATCCCCTCCTTCACACCCCACCATACGCATCACGACCTTCATCTCTTGCCTGGCGATTCAGCTGTAAATACACACAAAGGAGAGCTCTGTGAATTTGTGTTGTATTTGCTGAAATACTAAGCTCCGCGAGGATTTTATATACGGTATTTGTACTTATTAGTACACAGTGATGAAGTAGAGTGACTTTTATTTTGTTATGTCTCAATTATTGTATTTGGGACAATTTCTTATACGATCTCTGGTCAGCATCATAGCGACCACAACACGTCTTTGTGAAGTCGTTTAGATCGTTGTGACTATTCCTTGCCTTTAAGTCGCTCAGTGAATATCGCTGCGCCCTCCCGGGCTCGTCTTCTCTAAAAGAGAATACTGTATGTGAATCTATCCATTTATATATACATATACAGTATATGTATACTGTTTACGGTTTTCTTTGTCCCAATTATTCACGTGCTAGTATGACTGCCATGACTGTCTCTCTCCCTACTCTTGTTCATTCACAAAAAACCTTTGGGCTTCCGCCCTCGGTTTTCTAATTGCTTTCAGCATAAAGGCCAGAGTTGAGTTTTTCTCTCCATAACTTTATTTTATTGATGTCCTCAGTAGCGGGTTCAGCCTTTGCAGGCGAACTTTAGCGAGGCTGCTAGACTTAGCGTTCCTTCCGGAATGTTGACCTTCCGGTCTTCCTAGCAATCTAGAGTTATGTTGAAATGGACTTTACATGCCAATGATGATGTGTGAGTTTTTACTCGATGACGAAGTCATCAGGTTCAACTTTGGTTTGAAGCTGTAGGGTCAACTCTGGTTGAAGCTGTAGTTTTCCATAAAGATGCTATAGCTGTTGCTGAAGCTGTTGCTGAAACTGTTACTGAACCTGTAGTTGTTGCTGAAGCTGCTGCTGAATTTGATTGTGTAGCTGAATCTGAAGTTGATGGTGTAGCTGAAGTTGATGGTTTAGTCCTTCTAATAGTAAAGCTGTCTAAAGAACCTTTCACAGCTGCTTTCTTTTCTCTTTATACATCTTTATGCTGAGGTCACATGATTTTTTCACGTCCCTGTTAATTTTAATGCTTCGTTCTGTTTATGGATCCACTTCAGAAAATAATATTATGTTCATGCTTGCTCCATATAATATCCTCAGACCTCTCACCTTTTTTCGTATTGTTTTAACACATTTAGTTTCTCGGCTAAGCTGATACACTTTCTTTTAGCTTTTGAACCAGCACTACCATCACCTGCTTTCTTGCTCATGCTGAATAGGGATGCAAAAATGCCGTAAGAAACCTGAAAGTTTTTCTCCTTTTCCTGTTCAGATGCCTGAAAACAAAGGGCCGGCCAGCTGCAACTGTTTATACTAGTTATGCTGGCGTTCCCACTCACAAGCCCGGCAGCCTCCGTGCTCAGGGCGTGTTTTTTTATTTGCATACAGTAATACATATCAGGATTTAGTTATTATTTATATGAAAATTTAATTTAATTTAATTTTTTATTCTATTTTCATCGTAAATACAAAGAAAATAATGGTGTAAATTGAATTGGGTCCTAAATTAACCAGGGTCTTAAATATGAATCGTCGTAGTAGAACCGTTGTTATCAGAGGCTTTCCTGTACATCATAAATACTAAATCATGGATATTCTTAAAATGTTTCTGAAACAGTTTTGATGATTACAATTCACTTTGCATGAAAACTGATCAACCATGTTCCGATGTATTTTATTTTATATTCCTGTATAATAATGTTTTGCAGAGGCCAGTGGAAGTTGTGATATCTCTGGAGAGAAAGTGCCCAGTGGATGGAGACATACATACCAGGGTAAAACTAAAGGCTCAGCTGATGTTGCTCTCATATTTGAGTTGTCCATCTGTACAACAAACAAGGATATGCAAGATCTTTTTAAATCTATTGTTAACCAGCTAAAGAAGAGTCAGATACGTAAGTAATATACTGTACCTGTAGTTCATAGTCCATTTCTAATGCAGTGGAGTCATAATAATTTGCAAAATACAAATTCATGGATACCTCTTTTTTTTTAAGTTTTGCAGTTAAATATTTATTAATCATGGCCAAGTGCTGGCTGCTGCAGTGTTGTAGAAATATCTATTCAGTGCTCTAATGTGACCTAGAAATAAAGAAAATGTAATTTAAATATCATTTCAATGCTCTAATCTCATTTAGAAATAAAGAAAATATAATATAGAACAATAAATAAGAAAAATGAATAGTGGGAAGTGAATTGTGTGTTGGAGGTAGGGAGGGTGGCTGACCCCGCCCCATGGCCCCATTATGACAACAGTATACAACTTCAACTTACTGTAATTCCCATATTACTTAGGTTCATTTGGTGTTGAGTTAATCAAACATTATTATAAAATTATAAAAATCCCCTCCCCTCCCCCTCCACACCCAAAAAAATAACACACTCAACCCTAATTGAGTTGTTGTGTAGTACAGCATGCCCTTCAAATTTGCAGGGGTAAGGTTCTCAAAATGGCAGCGAATAACATTTGCTGACAGGGTGAGAGGGTAAAATTTTTACTTGTGTACAAAAAAAAGACAGTTTTTACAAATATGTATATTCCCTTTATGTATTTGCCCTTAGGACAATTATTTATTTTACCTGTATATATATATGTATATATATATATATATATATATATATATATATATATATATATATATATATATATATATATATATATATATATATATATATATATATATATATATATATATATATATATATATATAATAGGTAGGGTAGACTCAACATTTATAATACTACATTTATTTCTGATTATTTTTGTGAGAGGATTTCCCATTATATTTATTTGTATGTGTTTTGTGTGTGTGTCTACACACACACACACACACACACACACACACACATATATATATATATACAATACAGGTAAAGGAAATTACTGTCTCTAGAATGAATGGCTCCCTCTCCTGGCCGCAAAAATGCCAAAAACTTTAAAACTACCCACAGCAGTCTGGGTTTGTGGTATTCTGGCTAATGGAGATATTACTTATATTTTTGGACAAACATAACTTGTTTGATCTTTTTTTTGTGGGAGTTAATGAATAGCTTGTATATGCTTTAGGTTTATTACCCAGCATTGTAGCAAGTAAGGTCTTGAATGTATAAAGAGAAGACTTGTGTAATCCCTGAATAATTTGTACATTATCCAGTATTTTTAATTGAATAATAAGTGGAAAATTTTTTTACCAAGAAATAAATTTGACTAACTTGGTACAGTATTTGTATTATCGCTATTCCGAATATTCTATTCTTACACCTCTGTTTCGCTATCTGAAAGTGATATTTACTTATCCGAATGAAGATCCGATCAAAAATTAAATGTGACCTGGTAGTTAGCTGAGGTAACCATTTTGTCCCCAGATGCACAGGAATGTACTCTCACTCCAGGTATATGACAGTACCCCCCCTCCCCCCACATCCCCTCATCCTACAGTCACTCAGTAGTCATTGCAAGTGAAATGCTTTCTCTTTATATGTCTCTAGTCATCCCATCCCTTTGTGAAACTGTGCACAATGGTATCCAAGCATAGTGGTGATTCTTGTGCTACCATCACCAATGGATCCATAAACGTGTGGTATTTTATATTTTATTTATTTATTTTATTTTTTATTTTTTTATGGGGATTAGCCCACCTGGGCACAGGTCACCGACCCCCATCGGGGACTGGTGGGGAGGGGGTGATTGGACCATAAATAAATCCAAAAACGGAAGATTAAGAGTGAGAAATGTATTATACTGTATGTAGTGTTGTTAAAGTAAGATAAACAATTGAGAGCCTGCTCTTGCATGTAAATGAAGCAGAAAGTCAGTCAGATCAGCCATATGGCAGCAGGGTCTACCATTAGACAACACATTATGCTTCCAATTGAAACCTAGCTCGAGATAATCAAGCATCACAAGCAGGGAGAAAACCCAACGTGAGGTAATGCTCTCAGAGCCGTAAATAGATTCTGAGATACAGTAGTCCAGCTTCTGATCTCCTGGAAAACACTCTTACCTTTATAACTAAAACTATTTGTTCTGTTCTTTTTCAAATTATCTTTAGGTATAGGACCTCTTTAGCTCGATGATCCAGAAATGAAATTTTCATGAAAATGTAATAGTTATGGTATTCTTCTTTGTAATTAAGCAAAACCTCAGAAGTACATGTTCACAATCATAACCCCTGCATTTTTTTCTTTTCAATATTGATCAGCTTACTAGCCATTCAGGCAGTCAGTCTGTTGTACTTATAACTTTCATTGTCCAGGGTTAGTATTCTTTGTTAACAGATAAAATTAATCTTGAGAGCATATTTCTTCTCCAACCAACTCTAACCAAGAGGGAAGTTTTAGCCAAATATTGATGCTTTAGACATATAAGTATAGTGTCACTATTATCTTTAGTTTTCTCTTAACTTTAGTTTGAGGGGAATCGGTAATCAAAATATAATTTGTCAATTAATATTTTCTCTACAGTTTAATCGAAACAATAATTTATCCCATAATTTTTCAGGTGATGTCCGTTATGCTGTGGTGACAGGAACGGCAGAGACAACATCTTCGACAGGTTTTATTAGCAAAAGTGAGGCAGAGGTACATCTTAATACTTATGCTAGTGATGACTCCACCTCGACCACCAATGCTACATCTGTTGTCTCCACAGCCCAAAACCTTGAGTATGTTATAGAATTTTAAGATATGTTATCCCAGTAAGTTATGCTTCTCTGGGAACTTTCTAGCAGTAACTTAGCATTATTTTGTCGACACTTGAAGTATGTGAGAATGTTATGATAACTTGCAATAATGTGTGAAAGTTATTTCCTGCCTCATATTTTATATTTTCATAGGATGATTTTCTTTTTCAGATGGCGCCCAGGAGTTTCTCGTACAATAGTTCACCTAACTTGTCAAGCATGTGCTGAAGGCGAGGCCATAACTCAAGCTTTGCAAGCTAATGATGTAACATATCACCTTATTACCAAATTAAACATCATCATGGCAGGACCTAGGGCAAGGAGCCAAGCAATGGCTCGCAAGGTTTATGGCTTTGATGAAAAGTTTGTTTTTGGCGCAGGAGGTAATTATACAGTACCAATAATGATTATACAGTAGAACGTCGATATAACACGAGATACTTTCCAAGAGAGGTCGCTTTAAACCGAATTCGCACTAAATCAAAGTGTTGTTTCAATGGAGAGAAACAAAATACTAAAAAAACTGACAGTCTACCCAGATGCACCTCAGCCCATTTCCTAGAATAAACAAAACATTGTTTTTTGTAGTATTATGTTAAAAGAAACACTCATAAATCAACACAGCTAAAATTATGGAATGTGAAATGGTCTGTTTACTAGCGATCGGCTGATGGGAGGGGGGGGGTGAGGTGATATGTTTGACAGTTGATGCCAAGGTCTAGTGCTTATTTATTTATCTGTCCTAAGTTTTTTCTTATAAAATGTCACTGAACCAGCATGTTCTAATTCATTTTATTACAAAGGGCTAAAAATTTTATCGCTTGTGCAAAATATATGAAGTTTTTATTAAAATTATCTGCTGTCTTGCAAGGATTTCAGCAATGTAAATTACATTCTCCTAATTTAAGTCTGTGATATTATATAAGATAAAAAATGTAAGCCTATAACCACCCAATCTGCTGGGTGGTGACAGTTGGGGCCGTTTGACAGTTGGGGCCGAAGGTCTAGTGAAGTATTTATTTGTTTATTTATGTTCTTTAGATTTAGTTTTTGTTTATAAAATGTTACAGAAGTGGCCGGGGAGAATGTAATTTACATTACTGGATTTTTTATAAGATAGTGATTACAGTAGGTTCTCAAATTTTGCGAGTTTTTAATTTGATTTTTTTTATTTGGACACAAAAAACAACACTACACAATTTCAAATTTCGACGGCGGAAACTAGATTTTCGACAGGTTAGAGCGGCCCGCCAACGTTCAGACGTGCACAATTGTGAAAACAGAGTCATTTCTCATATGTACAAAAGATTCATTATTGTTTAATACTGAATGTCTTTTTGATTGAATTAATGTTTATGTGTGCAAAATGAACAATACAATTCATCATTAATACGTAGAATATTAAAACACACGAGTACACTAGATGGCATTGTTTTCGTTAATGTTTACAAAACCAGTGACTGGCTGGTTCTACATATAAAACTGAAGAAAATAAGACCCTGGTTGTAGCTGTTGTAAAATTAATGTAAAAAAATTATTATGGTTGTTTAAAGTAATGTTTTTAATGTTAATAAATGGAACAATAAAAGTAGCTAACCATTAATGGTAAAGAAAAAAGTGAGACCACGTATGTACTGTAAGTGCGCACATGTGAAAACATATCGTCATTACTCTACATAAGAATATGAAAGTAACACGTATTTACTGTTCATATATGTTTTAATTAATGCTTCTGAATTAAAAAAAAAATTCTACTCACCAGTGGTGGTAAAGTTGAAAACATAAGGACAGCCAATGTTGTTGTGTGTGTTTTTACTCGGATGACGAAGTTGCCAAGTCATCAGGTTTAACTCTAGCTGAAGCTGTAGAACATAAAAACCTTTTCTGTGTTGTTTTAGTTTTTATTTATTTTTATCTGTTATTTTCGTTGGTTTATTAGGATGTTGCTTTATTACAGGTAGTAATTTGCCAAAAAAGTAGGGTAAATAAGGCAAAATTTAGCCAAACATCGAAAGTACCAGACTCAAATTAATTTTCTCCATAGGAAGTTGTATTTAAATTTGGACGATTTGAATTTCGCGAGGTTTTTACAGTCTAAATAGGTGTCCAATTATGAGAGCCTACTGTAATTTTAATATAATCATGCTATAGTTTGCTTTAGACAAAAATTTTTGTAATCATTTAGTACATTATTTTGAGTACATATACAGTACAGCTTTGCCCTTAGGACAGTGTAGCGTCCCCAGAGAAACATTAGGAGCTAATTTTAAAATATGATGCTCCAGATTGACTCACGTAAAATAGGAAAGATTTGCTTTAAATTTAAACAGTCCTTAATTGTGGGTGTCACTTTAAATCAATAATCTTAAATTGAATCGCTTTAAATCAATAATTTTAAACTGAATCACTTTAAATCGACGTTCTACTGTACTGTACTTTGTGAAATGGCATAGATAAACCATATAGATATGTTTGTATTATGCTATGGAAGAAGACCACAGTAGGATTTTCATTTTGGGGTGTTTTCAACATACCAGGATCTTGGGAGACAAAATCAGTCCTTATCCTGGGATCCCCAGTTTATGTAAGTAAGGGTACTCATGTGTGAAAATTAACATAACTTGTATAGTTTTATTTAAAAAATATTTTTACATAGCATAGTACAGGTACTGCATAATATTTATACAGTACTGTACAGTATTATACTTATTGGACTCCAGGTAAACTAAAATTACCTGCATTGGTAAAATACTGTATTTTGTGGCATATAAGACACACGGCCATATGAGATGCATCCCTATTTCAGCAGGGAGTAATTAGGAAAAATCTTGTGTGCATTTTGCTTCTGTTTTCATGGTTTTCTTAATATGTACAGTACCAGTAAATGTGAGAAATAAATAAAAATAATATCAATAAATAAGTTTAAAAAAAAAATACTGTACTGCCAACCAGTAAACAAAAGCCAAATGAAAGTTTAACACAATCACCATCTGCCTACAATCCCTGCTTCCCCATAGCAACGAAGACCAGCAGGGACACTAACTGTGCCGACTCCCAAGCAACGCTCCCTCTTCCTGCTCCCTCACTGACCCAGCTAACTCATGTGCAAAGAAATCTATATTCCCTTTGAGTTTATCCTTATGACAATTATCTATTTTACTTTTTTTCACAATATGTATGTTGGATGGTGTTTGCATGTAACTGAGTAAAAATAAATGAAGAAAGTTACATATTTCTACCCAAAAATACGAGTTGAAAAACAACCATAACACTTCATAGCTTGGCCCAGTAACCTAGTGATGAGTCTAACCTGGCTACAATACTGTACCACCAATGATGTTAACTGATGTAAATTTTATAAGAAAGTTATCTGTAAATCTTCATTTGTATCAGGTATTTGTAGATTTAAAAATAAATGTTGCAGGTACGGCATTAATAGATAGTGATGCTTGTAAGAGTTCAGAAATGGTTTCTGCTTAGCTGCCTCTGAAGAGTTGTGTGTCTGTCGTATGGATGTTCATTGTTTTGGGTTATCATCATCAGTTACATTAGCTATAAATCCTGCTTTAATATTTACAATAACTATTTTTTTAATTAAAAATAATAATAATGTGTTTAGGTAAACAATAACATATTTTTGATTCTGAAGTTGGGCTAGGTACAATTTAGCCAACTGGAGGTAGCAACGAGGGAGACCCAAACTTCAGATATAGGATGCAGGCCGATTTTTTAGCAATTTTTCAGGCAAAAAATTGCATTTTATATGCCGTAAAATACATTAGTCCATTTATTTAATAATTATGACAATGCATTCAGTAGCATGTTCTGTTTATCTTTGTCGAGAAATAGTATAATGATTAGCCTGAATCTCCGGTCCCGAGAACTCTCCAATAGCCGGAATTAAAATCAACTTGGAATTTTTCCGGAAAAATTCTCTTAATTCCGGGTCTGCTAACAAATGTTGACCTCGCTTGCAATCTGCCTCTGGAATTCTTTTTCATCAATTATGCAATTTGACTTTGCCTAGTTCCTGGACCTAGCATACATCCTCCTGTCCTGCTCATTAGTTCCTGGACCTAGCATACATCCTCCTGTCCTGCTCATTGGTTCCTGGACCTAGCATACATCCTCCTGTCCTGCTCATCATTTGTCTTGATCCATGTCTGAAATTTTAGATTTTTGTTCAATCCAGAATGCGTTGCCTAGCTTATACCTAAGTATGTTAATGCCTAGTAATAACTCGCCAGGCCAACATACAGGCAATTAAAACATCTAATAATTACTTATTACGTAATATTAGGAGGACAATTTTTCTTAACTTTGTGAACCAGCACTTACGGTCTCCTTGTATTCCTGAAAATATGAATAAAAGTGGCTTTTGAATTGGATTCTGCATTCTCTTATGCTATTAAAATGAATATAACCTATTTTCTGTAATAACTTCCAGACTATACGAAATTCAAAGGTAGCGAGAACTTGCGGGCAGCCCTGCAGGAGCCTGAGAGTGCGTGTGTGGCGGCTGCTCAAGCATCAGGAGGATCAGCTTTTAACATTGATAAGTGGAACCCTCGCAGAACAGTAAGTACTATACAGTATGTCAATAATATATCTTGAACTATCTGGTGATGATATTTAATGGTAGTGTTATCCTCTCTCAGGCATAGCTGATGTTATATAACAAAAGAAAGAATATTGATTCTCATGGCAAAAATCTGTATTTTCTTAAAAGGCTTAAAATTTATATCATATCTTTAACTTCATTCCTGAACATACAGTTGTGGTAACATTTATAAAGGGTTAAGTTGTCCCTAAAGAAATTCATCATTACTCTCAATTAAACCTGAACATTGTAAAGAACACTTATGAAAAATTTATCGGTGACCATCATTATAGAATATCCTACAGGCAGTATGTAGTAAGAAAAAATGTGAAGAACCTTCTGATTTAATTTCACATTGATGTATGTGACCAGATTATATGTGATCACTCTAAAAAGAAAAAAGAAAGAAATATACATAACTAATATGAAGTAAATAATTATCATAAAATTCTTTCAGGTGCAAGAAAAGAAATTTTTGGGGGTGTTAGGGCAGCGTGTGGCACTAACAAGCACTGCTCCAGAGTGTCAGGAGTGCCAGTGTGTTGATGAAGAGTTAAAAACAGTTGTTACATGTCAAAAATGCTCTGGAAGCCCAATGTTCTCTCAGTTTTCACAGAGAGTGCAGGGACCAGTGATACAGGTAAACTAAATAAGTACTAAATGACAAAATATACCTTCAATAATCCAGACAATGAAGGGTGGATATACTTTTTTTTTAACTGTTATATGTACATACAATCTTTCATACAGAATGTGAAGAAAAAAAGATAATCATAAGGTCAAAAACATAAGAGAATAAACATTTCTTATTTGTACAATAGTTATTGTGGGATCATGGGAGGGGAGCGGGAGGGTGGGTGCAGCATCGGGGATCTCGGCCTCCACCTGTTGGTAAAGATGTGAGCTGCATTATTGTTATTTTTCAACTCATATTTTCAGGTAGATATACATAATTTTCTTCTTCTTCATCTTTTGTTTTTACTCTGTTACATGTACACACAATTGGTCATACAAAATGTGCCAAAAATAAATAAAATATATTATCATACAGTCAAAAGCATAAAGGGAATAAACATTTCATACGTGCACAGTAGTTAGTGTACGGATTATGGTAGGAGGGAGTCGTGTTAAAGATCTAAGCTGCTCCAATCTCCCACGTACAGTATAGTGAAATTATTGCCAACTGGCAATGCTGTACATTATGCTTTTATTTTATTTTATTTATTAGTATAGATTTTATATTCCTCATATTTACTGGTGCTGCAGTATACACGTAATCCTGGTCCATAATAGCCTCGGGTAGTGGGGAGTATACAGTATAGTGTAAAAAAATATGTGGTGAAAGTTGACGACTAGGAACGCATTCCCCTATTTACATTATTTCTTATGGGGAAAATTGCCCCGATATTCATAAATTCGTTATTTGCAATGACTTTTAGGAATGCATCCTTTTCAGTAACTAGGGTATTCCTGTATAAATATTTGGAGAAATTATTCTGATTTTATTTTGGTAAAAAGTGGTGTTTTGAACCTAATTAGAACTGATTTTATACTCTGATATAAAAATTTCATAAATGTTTTCATAAAGGGATTCAGTTTCCGTCATTATATCATGCAGAAATATTTTCTTTATGCATATTTTTTTATCAGTCTTGTAGGGAATTTATTCTGTATCATTATTGCACCAAATTCATCTTTCTAACACAATTAGAACAGATGCCATGGATAAAAGTTTGTGCACTTCGAGGAACATGTGCTTACAAGATTTATGCCATAAACAGGTAGCTCCAAAGATCTATGTATTAAACTTCCACATTCATGTCACTTCATGTTGAGAAAAATAAGGGCTGGACAGGGTACAGGTTTTAAGTGACTAAAATTGTGATTCTAATTTACAGAAGAACATCATCACAGAAGATATCAAGAGAAGCTTCAAGGATGAATTAATAGACAAAAATACTGCTTTTATATTGCTTGGGATAAAATGACAAAAGTAAGTTACTGAATGTTCTTAGTTATATCATTTGCATTTTAGAAGATTAAATATTTTAATTAGGATATTAGTGTATTACATTTAGGTGATTTTTGTACTTCCTATATGCAGAAACTTGCAAAGAATTTTTTTTGCTTGTCTTCTGCCTTCACAACATTGACTCAAGAGCCACTTTAGTCCTAACTTGGAGTGAAAGTTGTGAGTCAGTAAACAGATTGGAATGTTTTTACATTGATTACTTGTATTGTAGTGATTCAGAAATTAGTGAGCATGTAATGTTGATACAGGTATTTATGCACTACAAAGTGTATGTATAGCATATATATCCATGTATTTTATAACATGTATGCATACATTATGTGTATAATTTTCAGATATGGTCCTATGCTATTTATACAAATGGTATCCATATGTGTATCTATAGAGAGTCCACAAATTTCTTTATGTTCTTTAAAAGTGCAACTTAAAGTGAATCAGTTTTTTTGCAAAAAAATTATGTACAGTACGTTACAAAGGTTAGGTTCTTTGCAAGAAAATTTGGTTCTGTGCGGTTGAACATGTGAAATCAAGTTGTGTACCAGTTGTAGCCTCTCAGTACGGTTGTGACACTAATCTGCCCATCATGAAGGTAAACCCACCTACTTGTGAGTGCCCAAGTGCTGCTGTTTTAAATATGGTACACACATAAATAAATTACTTTAGCTTTCCTCAACATTAATTGTTATCATAATGTACTTTGAATAATAACCATTGCAGTAGTAAGTATGGGCTAATAATGATAATATACTCCTGTAAGTGACCTGACCTTATAAGTGACAGAAAAAGAGTGTTTGTTAAAAACTGATTCTTTTAAGTGATGCTAAGAGATACTTTGATGAGAACTGATCGTTGTAAGTGATGATATGTGTTTGTTTTTTCTGGAACTAAATATTGTAAGTGTTGGCCAGTGATTGTTTGGTAAGGACTAACTACTGTGAGGAGGGAATGATATACTGTGCATGGGTATAGCTTCTGTTACAGAGAGGAATTAACAGTGGACATGACTCCCCCCCCCCCCCAACCACCACCACCACACCTACATAACAAACTCCAGGATCATCACCTTATTACAGGTATCCCTTGCTAGAATGATTGATATCTGAAAATTCACTTATCCAAATATTCTTTTTCAACACCTCTTTTTCGCTATCCAAAGGTGATATTCGCTTATCCAAATGTTGGTCCAGCTGAAAATTCAATCATGCTCCAGACATGGCCGGGAATCAGCTAGGGTGACCATTTTGGTTCCTAGATGGATAGGAATGCACTTTTGCTCAAGGTGCATAACATCACCCTTCCTACCTCCTGCACCCTCTCATACTTCTTTCACTTTGTATTCAGTGCAAGTGAAGTGCTCTTTCATTATTTGTTTGTATTTGTGCTATCCTTTTGTGAATCTATTTTGAATGGCATCCAAGCATGGCGGTGATCCCTCTGCTACCCCCACCATCACAAGAGACCTCATAAAGCTGTGGTAATTGAAACCAAACTTGAGATAATCAAACATGGAGAGAAACCCAACATAAAGTAAATTACTATACCAATTGTATAGATATTTTATAATGTCACAGGGAGAGTGCGGCTGGTCGCAGTTACAGCTCACATATACACACTCATGCTCTTCATTTTTCTTATTTTATAGTTTTTTCTAAACCACATTAGAGTACATTATTGAAATGATGCACACTTGGAGCACAGAATCCCCAGTTTTCCCGAGTTCAACCTCCCGAATTTTTCCAGTGAGTTGAACATTGCTAAACAGAATATTGACCATCACTAAACAAGAAAGGGTGTTAAAAATATTATATCGCTAAACTGAAATATCGCAAAGTGAATGATCATTAAACGAGGTATACCTGTACTGTAATTTAATAACCAACTATACAGTACAAGAAAACCCCAATTTTATACTTGAAAAAAATTTAATTGGTTCACCAACAAAAATAAATAAATAACTAACTACAGGTGTACCCCAATAGCCGATGCATATACAGACCAGGAAGTCTTTGGTTAGTAAATCAAAATGGTTATCCAAGTAATTAATCCCATAGGAACATAACAAATTCAGGGGGTTAGGGACTGGCCTTCCCCAAAAACTCCCATCTACCCTTGATATATCTCTGTACTGCACACTGTCAAGAAAGAAAATAAAGCAGACATATAAAGAAAGCATAATAAGCCTTAAATAAGCAATGTAAAGCATAAATATAGACTGTTATTTACCTGTGTTGTGGATGGTAGAGATGGTCTAGGGTGGCAAGTTCAAGTCTCTACCACTCTTTGTTGGTCCATCAACACTCTTATTATGCCTTGTTACATCACATCAAACTGAGCACAAGAGGAGCATCACAAGAAGAACTATCACTGGGGCATTTAGGCATGATTGCATAACACGCTAAGTTGGAAATAGTGAAAAAAACGAAGTCAGAGACACATAGTGTAAACACTAGCAGTGATAAGTGGGTATGAGTATGGGCAGTGCACAGAGCCTTATTGTGGCAAGAATTCACACCACGCCACAGCCCGCCAAATTCAAAACAGTTCTGCCACTCTTCTCCCGATCATCGGTGGTTAACGGGACATCGGTTTTTGGAGTACACCTGTAAATTAGTACCTAACTCAATAAAAAAAAAATGTAAATGTAAATTTGGTACATTACCTTAAGGGCCCATATTCATATAAACATGAATAGTTTTTATATATGTAATAAGAAAGAGGCGTAAGAATAGAACTTTTGCACTGTACAGTATAAGTGAATTTTCATAGTTCGAACATTCGTACAGCTAGGGATACCAGTACTGTTAGTCGGAGCAATTAGTGTAGAGCAGTTCCTGGTTTGAGAGGTTTTCGTGTACAGTAGTGGGATGAGATCTCGTATCCCCTGAAAATATTGCACATCTACAAAATTTTTCCAAGCACTGGTGAATGTTTCCCTGTCTAAACTATGCATCTGGCATGAAACACCATTGCTGAATAGGCTTAACTGCAGTTTGACAGAAACAGAGCTGTACAGTATTAATGCAAACTACTATACATGTACAGTATATTGTAAATAAAAAAAAATTATGACTGTATAGTACACTATAGTATACTGTACTGACCAGCTGGTGCTGTCATCATGAGCTTGTGATGCAAGCAGGTCAAATGGTGGCAGGTGGGCACCACAGGGTTTTTTCTGTAACTTTTGGCATTGTACACATGCTGGTTAATATACACACTCCTAGACACTAGGCTACAGTAGGCATACACTGTCCACTCTGCTATGTACAGATATACAGTACTCTCACCCTTACTGAATATTACATACCTGTACAGTTATCACTTTTTAAGTCTTAATACTGCTTTAACTGTACTGTACAGTATTCTTAGCTGATTGTGTCCTAGTACAGTAATGTTCAGTACTGTACAACACAGATTGTATGGGTAAAGAGCAGAGAGCAAGCAAACAAGCTTGTAAAATGGCAGTAGAAAATGAACCAAGCACTAAGGGTTTGAGGAGATAGGCTGGGAGATGCATCTGCCAATCACAGGCATCCCCTGTAGTCACATGACTTTACTAGCCACTTGCAGCGCACAAGCCTACGGCCTAAGTTCCCCATGCAGCTAGCCCACCCTTGCGCCCAGCATGTGTCCACGTCAGTGCATGATGTAATCTCTCGGAAATTCATTTGAATGCCCGAAGCAGAGAGATCTTTCATGAAATTTCTAAAAAAAAAAAAATCCCCTTCTGAATAATGGAAAGTTCAGAAGATTGAAGATTTCAGCTAACGGGGATATTACTGTATTAGAAATTGGATACAGACTTGATAGTTCATGGGAGTGTTGTAACTTTGTTAAGAATTATAAAATTTTATATGTTCTCAAAATATTTCAAACTACCGTACTGTACATCTCTTTTTAAACAAGATACCTGTACTCTAAAAGTTAGGGAGTAGAAAATACCAATACATCTGGAATACCATGTACAGTAAGTATGAAAGGAGCTTTTCAGGCTTGGTTTATAATGTACTTGTACAAACTTTGAGACAAAATCATAAAAAAAAAAAAATCAGAATGTTTGGAGCATGTTTATACCTTGTGCCCACAGCTTAAATTTAGCGTGTATGGACATTGTCTGTTTCCGCTAACTAAAAAACACACATCTGTATATAAAGTCTTTGTTTAGCAAAATTTCACACCTATTTAATGATACAGTACTGTAGATATTAAGCAACATAGTGTTTTAATTAATTACTGTACAGTATTTAAAAATATAATACAGGTACATCATTATTTGTAACACTTGATTTTTATGTAAAATGGGAAAACCAGAGCTTCAAAGGTTTTATTTTGTAAATAAACTTCTTAAGATTATTAATAAAGGGAAACATCCACTCACTTGTGATCATTCATATATAGATACTGACAGTCTTGATTACTCTGAGAAGTTAAAAACACAAAATTAATGGAAAATTATTTGAATTTGGGGGGCAAAAAATATGCCTAAAAGATTCTTGACACTACCACTCAATAGTCAACATTCCTCTGACACTTCCATTCAATAGTCAACATTCCTAAGTCAGATGCTAAAATACGATTTTTAATAACTAAATTCATAATTCACTGTAATATAAGGTATGTCACACTTTTTGTGCAGAATGGTAATCACATTGCCATTGTATCACCATCAATACTTTACAGCCATTTTCCATGCTTGCATGGGTTCGCTGCAGTTATATGATGGCAGCTTTACTGCCTTTCCGGTTGCCATCAGTCTTACTGAAACAAAGCTTTACAGCTGGATACCCACCCACAGGATGGAAACTGCAGCTGAACTTAACTGTACCATAATAAATAACTCAAATGGAAAGAAATGGTTGTTTTATTATATCCCTTCAGTACATCTTATGGTTGGTGTAATTAATGATAAACAGGGAACCAGAGTAGCCTTTGGAGGTCTGAGTTGCATATTGCTTCCATTATTGTGAATATTTCTTTGAATTGGTAATATTTTTGGGTTTATTAAGAGTACTTCATTATAACTTATATAAAAAACTTACTATTATATTAACTATTCTATTCACCACCACCACAATTTGAGCTGGTAGACCATTCCATAGGTCTACCCGTCTCTGTGTGAAGAAGTATTTCCTTAAATTCGTTCTGAATGATTACAGTAAACCCTCCATAACTCAGAATTTTATATAACTCGGCATGGACATGGTCTCAGAATGTATTAGTATAACTTGGGAAATGCCGAGATATATAAAATTATCTGGGAAAATCTTGGCATATCTGGCCACCTACATCACCTACCATACCTCAGTGTCACCTACCATGCCTCTGTGTCACCTACCATGCCTCTGTCACCTACCATACCTCTGTGTCACCTACTATGATGCTTCATTCTTCACCTACAGTGCTGGTAAATGTTACTTTTTACATTTAGTTATTACATTTACACATATATGGGTCAATAATTTGTTATTGTTGTATTTTTGTAGGAGTGGAGAAGTGCCTCGATAAGTTGGAATTTGGGATAACTCGGCAAGGCTGGAGCCCCATATGTGCCAAGTTATTGAGGTTTACTGTACTTGGCGAACTTGTAGTTATGGCCTCTCGTGTTGTTGGTGCATAACATCACAAACAAATGGCCCGCATTCATGTTTTCCATCCCTTTCAGGATTTAGAATATTTTAGTGAGATCTGCCAATTTGTCCAGGTACTCCAGTTTCCTCCTGTACTAACACTGGATAGACCAACCATCCTAACTGATAGTAAGCTGGTACGTGCTGAAAGGATAAATAAAAATTAAATATGGTAAATAAAATTTAAGTTAGATTATTAGTAGAGTTACCCCATAAGAGGCTCTCTCAAAGGATCATTTTTTTATTATTACCAGATAATATACAGTTGAAGGCTGAACTTGGGTATCATATTGTTACATTCCTCGGGTCTACTGATACAGTAGTCCCTCACCAACGGGGCATGAAGCTCAAGTCCCGTAGTCTCCATGTGTATGTTGTGTGAGGAGTTTGGGATTAAGCACAACACATTTTATGACATAAAAAAGAATCTTGACAAGATGAGGAAGCACTCTTTAAGGTTAGAGGACCCTGGCAGCTCAAAAAAACTGCAGAAAAGGATTAAGCCAGCAAAATTTAGTGACTAGTGCCAGTTTCCTACATAGCATTCCCCAGAAGTGTCACTTATCTTGCTGTCATCCAACAGTGAGTGATTGTACATTGTTCAGTCACCTCATAGTGTTAACATAGTGTTTAAGTGAAAATACTGTACAGTACAGGTACTCTAGTGTTTAAGTGAAAATCAAATTCTTTATTTTATATAAGTGAACAAATTACAGTGAAACAGTATACTGTACATAAGTGCCTTACTGTTTACTTAGCATCCCCCCTCTATCACTTCTGCCACCTGTGTCGCCTTCCATTCCAGTGTCACCTCCCATGCCTGTGTCAGCTACCATGTCTCTGTCACCTACTATGATGCTTCATTCTTCACCTGCAGTGCTGGTGTTATATCTTTTAATAATTATTATTATTACTATTATTATTATTATTTTGTACAGAGAATAGCCCACCTGGGCACAGGTCATCGACCCACAACGGGGCCTAGGGGACGAAAAAATAAGAGTAAAAATAAATTAAACATACAATAGAAAAAGATTATATTAATCTACACCACGAAGATGCTGGAAAACCAGCTTTTTGAAGTGAGACAGATTGTATGAGTATGGAAACACAGAAGAAGGCAGAGCATTCCATAGTTTGGCTGTGTGAGGAAAGAAGGATGTACTATAATGGGTCATTCTAGTGTGACCGACATCCACAGAGAAACCCTGGGCACTGCGGGTAAGACAAGTGTTACGAGCCCACGGCCTTGCCGGCGGTACACAAGATGCCAAATCCACCGAACATTGCCTGTTAAAGTACCTGTAAAAGAGAGTGAGTGAAGCAACATTGCGGCAAAGAGAAAGGGAAGAAAGATTATCAACTAAAGGAGGAGAGTTAATAAGATGAAATGCCTTTGATTCCACCCTATCTAACAGTTGAACAGAAGAAGAGCCACCCCAGATATGAGAGCAGTACTCCAAGCTAGGACAAATGAATCCCTTATAAACTTGAAGCAACTGCTCAGAAGTGAAGTAGCTACAGCATCTGTACAGCATTCCCAGCTTTCGGGGGGCAGCTTTAGCAAGGTTGTGGATGTGTGGCTTCCATGAAATTTTAGAGGAAATGGTGAGGCCTATCATATCTATTTTAGAATTTGGCACAATGATTACATCCTGAAATATGATTGGTGGGAGATCTTCAATTTTGGAAAGTGTAATTGGTAAATACTGTGTTTTATTACTATTGAATTTAACCAAGTTTCTACCTCCCCATTCGGAGATGCTGCACAGATGCGCATTGATAGATGAAATGATATCAGCTCTAGAAACAGATCTAGTTTGAGAATTAGGCGAAAGGTATAAATGTGAAGAAGAGTGAAGAGTAGAATCATCAGTGTAAGAATGGATAGAATTAGTGGCAGTGTGAAGTAAATCATTGATAAATAGAAGGAAAAGAGAAGGTAAAAGAACAGAACCCCGTGGGACACCACTATTGGTAGAGAAAGAGCAAGAGATCGATCCCTCGACAACAACTGCCATAGATTGTTCTCAAGGAAGCTGGAGATTAGAGAACAAAGTGGGGAAGAGAAACCAAAAGAGGAAAGTTTAGAAAGCAAAGACTTGTGCCATACTCTGTCAAATGATTTGGAGATGTCGAGGGCCACCACGAAAGTTTCCCCATAATTCCTAAGAGAGGATGACCAAAGATGGGTGCAGCAGGAGTGCAGATCACCAGTAAATCTCGCCTGGTGGAAGCCATACTGGTGATCCGACAAAAGAGAAAAGTGTTCAAGGTGATGGTGAAAATGAGAGTTTAAGATAGTTTCAAAAATCTTAGAGAAGGATGAAGTTAGGGCAATGGGGCAATAGATGGAGGGATTAGAATGGTCACCCTTCTTCGGGATGGGCTAAACCATGGCATGCTTCCAAGAAGAAGGAAAATTTTGGGTTTTGAGGCAAAGGCGAAAGAGGGGGTATTCCGTCCGGTCCATGTGCCTTATTCACATCAAACCTGGATAACACACCAGCAACCCTCTGAGTTGGAGATTATAGGAAAGTGCATACGTTCAATAGGAGGGGTAGAGTTGGAATTGTCTAAGGTGGAGTTAGAGGAGAATAAGTGCCAAAGAGATTGGCTTTATCAGGGGGGAGGAGTTGGCTATAGAATTATCAGGTCGGAAGAGAGGAGGGAGTGCAGAAGATATTACAGATGTTTTTGGTTAAGGACCAGAAGGATTTACTAGAAGTAGAGTTAGTCAGGTCAGCCGTCTTTCTTTTTATAAAATTCCACTTGGCCCTATGAAAAATAGCCTTACAACGATCCCTAGAAGTAATGAAAGAGGAGTGGGTAATAGAAGGAGATAGCTTCATAACTTGATATGCCCTATCTCTCTCTCTACATGCAAGAGAACAGGAGCGATCAAACCATGATTGTAAAGTGAAAGTTTTGTACACGTATATGGGCCAATAATATTTTATTGCTGTATTATTGTAGGAGGGGGAGGAAAGTGCCTCGATAAGTCAGAATTTGGGATAATTCGGCAAGGCCAGAGCCCCATATGTGCCGAGTTATCAAGGGTTTACTGTATCACATAAAGTTGAAATCTTGTAAAACTACCACTGTACTTACAGTAAATGTATACAGTACGGTACTAAATACTACTGCTACATATATTTTGTATTTGACATAATCAATATATATGCATAAAGAAAAGTTTTAACAAATGATTTGTATTATATGCAAGTGGTTAACAGATGAATTTAGGCATTTCTTCTCACGTTTGTATTATCCTATGTGATTTATATTTGAGTCAACATATATAGCTTGTGATTAGAACTCACATTTATCAGTACTGTACATTATTAGTCTATTCTCTTCATCTATGTATCAGTAGTAAATCATACACGTAGAAATAAAGGGTACCTGGGCCAGATTAGGTACACTCGAGTTCTAAAATATTTACTGTATCTTAACACTCCTATCCCATTTTGTACATGGGGTGGATCAAGGAATACTCAAAGCACTATAAAGATATATGGCATACAGGTACTATATATCCACTGCTTTGGGCCCTTTCCTCTTGCTTATTTCCTATAATTTTCTTCCTTGACTCACCTAATATTTTCCTCGTTTCTTTATGACAAAAAGGGTATAAATCTAATTACCAATACTGTACATGTACTGAATGTTTTGTTTATGCACAGCAGGTAGAGTCAATATCCTCTGCATTTGATAATTGTATCACATTCCTAATTCACAAAAGTTTTATCATCCTTCGACTAATAAATTTAATTTTCTAAGGGCTGAAGTTACCACCAATCTTCCATGGGGAATAAAATTTTTATTATATAACATTTTAATTGCCATAAATCCACATTTTCTTTTCCTTCACAACAATCTTAAAAAATAAAAGTTTTAACTGTGAAGAATTCAAGAAAAAATAAATAAAATACTGTACATTTAATAGCTAGGCAAGTAATTCATATAATTCTACATAAAATATACTGTACAAGTAATTGCTGTACTTGAGTTGCTGACATCATCCCCAGAGTTATAAAGACATAAGCATCAAACTTACCCTGTTTGTCCACATAACCTCACAACACTGTTCTCATCCATGAACTTATGCCTCATCGTTTTCTTCATACACAACTACCAGGTTGCATGTTTCAGGAAATGAAAACAATTATAATCACAGAACTGGGAATGTAATTATATATGCACTGTGAAAAAAATTACAGATTACAAAATGATAATGCACACAATTGTTAATACAGTACAATACACAATATTTGCTTCATAGACAAGTACCCGTCATACATCTAACAAGAAACTAAAAGACAAGAGTGTTTTTCATATTCTGTATACTGAACTGCAGTAGATGCTTGCACAAACAGTATTACCCCTTTGATCAGGAAGTGTGCAACATCTTAAAATTATACAGTACCCGGCCTTGTGGGTTGCAACCAATAAGCATGTAATATTGTTTTAATTGTTCTCACCACAATTCAAATAAATTAGTATAATTTATTACTCTGGATACCTAAGGCCTTTATCTACAGTACCTCATCTTGGGAAAAAGATCTCCCACCTTAACCCACAGCCTTCGTGTGTTCAAGATGTCAAGGAGGAAGTGCTTGCCCTTCCTCTCATACTGACAGTACATACTGGATTTCATTTACAGGTATTTATAATTATTGTTTTTATGCAGTACTATATAGGAATTCTAATATAGTATGTACCTTTAAAAGGTAATAAAAAGTTTTATTTAATACAATACATGTATTTACATAACTCACTCTACTTGGGCTGGTGGGAAATTGGAAACTTACACACCAGTTAGCTTTCGGCTTGAGCCAACTCTTAAAACAGTATTGCATGTTTAGACAGTAATTATAGTACAGTATTGTTTTGTGTACCAGTACAGGGTAGTCTTTCACAAAGTTACTGAATTCCCCCAAAAAAATCTCCAGACTCACCATCACGGTGAAGGCCAGAAATATTAAGCTAACTATTCAAAGGGTTAATAAATGTAGAAGAATAGTTCATTTATACTCATAACATACTGTACATATAAAAAAATATCTACATGTGCCACATCTACTTTCATTTTTTCATAGTACAGTACACTGTCCCCTCGCTTAACGTGGGTTTGTTCAACGTAGATTCACTCAAATGTTTTTTTTTATTACTGCACAGTATTGCTTAGCACAGGACTATGATTTGCTCGAATGCGGGTTAAGCCGGGCTAACACGGAAATATTCGGACAAACACAATCGGGTAGTGAATGTTTTGTGCGGGGCACCGATCGAGTCCAGTACAGTCCACGAATAGCGTCCCCAAGCCTCGTGGGCTCAGAGTTTAGCTATTGCTCGGTTCGGCCACAACCAAGAACTTTGCTTAGATTCACTTCGGTTTTTCACTTGCTTTTGTAACCATGACTCCATCTGCCTAGGGACACTCCAGCAAAGAATAGGACCACCTTTACCCCAAAGAGTAAGTTAGACATTCTTCAACAACTAGAGGGAGGTCAATCTGTCGGAGTAGTTTCTTTGTAAACGAGTCAATCAAGAGGAATGCTGAGGAGGTTGGAGTCATAATTTCGGGAAGATAAACATAACTTTCTTTATATTCTTTTATTCGGTTAGATGCACACATTCTACAAACAGAATGTGGGGAAAAATCATAATTATTAGGTCAAAAACATTAAATGAATGTACAGTACACTTAACATTTCTTCATGCACCAGCGAGATTTAGCGGAGTTATGTTATGGTTATTTTTCCATTCATAATTTCAAGTAGATACAATTAACCTTCACCATTTTGTTACATGCACACATAATCCTCCCTACAGAATGTGGGGGAAGAAAAATATCATTGGGTCAAAAACATAAGATGAATAAACATTTCTTTATATACCACCGGGAGGGTGAGCATTGCTAAGGGTCAGGAGGGAGAGAGTACCCAGGTCAGGTTGCTGTGGTGAGGCTTGAAGAAGGCCATGCGTGACTCAGCCAGCCTCTGAAAATGGCTGTACGGTAATATTAAACTTTAGGAATTGATTTCATGGACCCGCCAGTCTCTCCACAACATTAAGTTTAAGCGAATTTGGTAGATGTACATGTATTAGCGAGCTACTGTAGAGCTGTACAGTCTTTGAACTTTTTTTTTTTGGGGGGGAGGGGGGGGGACCTTTTGGGGTTCACCTGATGCATCCCCTATCTCCCCATGTTATCATGGGACTGCAACTCACAAGTTAAGTGAGGGGGCAGTGTAATAGTTGTTCATTTATCTATTCTACGAGAAGGCACATAACATCCACTCCATGTTGACAGTGAATTACTGTATACCAAGCACGAGTGATGAAATTAAAATTTTTCTTTTATTCTACCAAAAAGGTTTTCTTTCTCGGTTCAACCCTTTCACATAACAAACTTTAAATAATGAATTTTGTGTTTACTTTACAAGGTAATTGGTCCAGGGAAACTACCAATATTTCTCGGTACTCATTCCACCTCCCTAAGCTGATGTTTCTCAATACAGTACACCACAATATCTTAATTCTATTCTAGAGGCCATATACAGTATTTCTCACACTGTATCAATTTATGATCAATCACTGCAGCATAACAAGTTGTGTTGTTTGATCAGTTTACCAAATTACTGTTTGTGATAAATATCAACATCACCACTGTACTTGTATGTACCTTCCTAACCTGGGGGAACAATAAAGTGATTCACACATAAAACAGCTGCAGAAAATAAGAACAATTCTTTCATACCAACTTACCATAAGTGTAATTTAACATTGTTTCTTCTTGGCAGATCCAGAAGTTGAAAATATTAGACAAACATAAAGCCACACATTATATAACTAAGACAAGAAGAGAACGTTGACAGCCATTAGAATACAAGCAGCAGCCACCCACGGGCTTTTCCTTTCCCCTATTCTGGCCATTTTCCAGAATGTTCCTACAAGTCTGCAAGGAAAAGAAGATTTAGATAAAAAAATAGTAAGTATGGTGATTAATAACTACATATTACAAAAGTATTATAAAATACATCTTCAAAATGAGATAACACCACATGAAATAAAGTTTATTAAGTATTTAGAAAATTTCACATTAAAGTATTCAACGCCAATAAGTGTTAACCACAGACAACAGCTTTTCATGCCTTGAAAAAACGTATCAACTTGGTAAAGTTTGTGAAAATTTCAGCACAATAAACCTGGAATTAAGTCGGGTGAGAACATGATCTGGTATATTTTACGGAGATTAGCCCACCCGGGCACAGGTAATGACCCACATCAGGGCCTGGGGGGCAAAAATATAATAATAAATAATAATTATAATAATAATATATCTATTATTATTATTATTATCATTATTACAACAATTAATAAAATTAATTGCAAAGTAATAAAAAATAAATAATTAAATAAAATAATAACCATAAATACTGTAAATACAAAATCGAAAAAATAAATCAAGACTGAGAAATTATATACATTATATATGTTGTGTCGTCCAAGTAAGAGAAACGATCGAGACCCTGCAATTGTGTGTAAATGAGGCAGAAAGACAGATCAGTAACCTGGGACTTGGTCACAATTTTTGTGATGCCATATGGCAGCAGGGTCTACCATTAGACAACCCATTATGCTTCCAATATCTTCCCAGGCGGTAGTACCTCCCTGTTTGGTAGCTGCCTATCTACGTACTAACAGTAAGTCATCCTGTAATATACTACAGTAGTGGGAAAAAGTGAGACAAAACAGAAAAAGCTACATTTTCACAAAATATTGAAACTAAGTACCTGTAGTACCATTAAGTTGAAGAGTATGAAGAGAACAGTGTTGTGGATGAGAAGGAATTGTGTGGTAAGATGGGAGAAAGCTAAAAGAACAGAGTAAATTGATAAAAAAATAAAAAAAACGTACCCTGTTTTTTGTCTATCAAGCAAGGAAGGTGCAAAGGAACGGATGTAGGTGCAGGTGCAGATCATCAGAAGCACCACACTCAACAGGCTCTCAAAGTTGAAGAGAGCAGACTGGAAAGGAAATCAAGATATCTTTATTTCTATAGTGATTGATTACACCAGGTCACTTCTGATAAATGACACTACCTCTGCTTTAGACCACACGAAGATTAGGCATCCTAACTTATTTCACCTAATGATTAAACATCCTAATACTAGGTGAGAGGAGGGTTAGGATTGGTGAGCATGGGTATTTAATCATCAGGTGGAATACTAAGTCTGCAAATTTAATAATCAGATACAGGTAGGAGATGGGTTCTGTCAATTTGCTTAAGTGCTTTACCAGTACTGTACTCAATGTTCCCTCCCAAAAAAATTTATTATTATTATTTTGCTTAATCTCCCATTGTATTTACATTACTGTATATACATTAATCATATACCCATGAATGGTACCTATAATATACTATAGGGCACTACAGTATCTCCTAAGAACCAACAACTTGACAAACAATTTAAGGTGAGAGAATTCAGCTCTATTATTTATTTTATTTTTATTTATATGTCATGAACAGAAATCTACGTCGATGTGTTAGGTCCAGGCAATCTACCTATCCTAGGATGGAAGTACAGGTACTGTATATCACTTCAGGTCAGGATTACCATGGTAATTTATGTTAAGTTAGTTAAGATATTGAAGGGTTGCTGGCTAGCATTCATTTGCTTAGTGTTAAGTCAGTTGCTGGGAACTGTTTGTAAAAAGTGAAACATAAACATGACTGGTGACTATTAATTTGTTCATAGCAAAAACAAGGTAAAATTAAACCCCCCCCAAAAATTAAGAAAGTAGAAATTCTTCCACTTGATTCTGGATATTCTAAAGGTAGGAAACAAGAGCTCCCTGGTTAAGAAGTTAGGTCAAGTTCTGTGTGTATTGTTATTCCCAATTTTGTGTTTAGTATCATGCAAATAATATATATCCAGAAATTTTGGTGCAATTTCATAAAGTCCTTCTGGTACAATACGCTAAACATCTACTCCACTATTACCTTTTACTGGTACAGTACTTACTTCCGTTAGTTGTCGAGCAATTCATTAGGTTAGGCTAGTTAAAGTTAAGTGTGTAAGTGACTGGATTCAGTAATGATGAATCAAAGTCATCTATCCCCATCAATCAGAAAGAGTGCCGGACAAATAAACGTCCATGGCAGGATAAATAATTACAGCATCGCCTTTCTTCTCCAGAAATTTCAGATAAGAGTATTATCCCAGGAGTTATTAAATCCAATTAATATTTAGAAGTTGCCAATACCTACTTATATATTGAGTCTTGTATTGGGAGAATGAGAAACAAAAAAAATAATAATAATTTATTCAATAACATTTCCGTCAGAATTTTGTATTTTACGAGTATTTTAACCTATAAAATTACCGACAATATTAGTTGTTCAAAATGGGTAAGGTTTTGAAGTACAGTGGGGTATGCTATAACGAACGGATCCTACTACGAATATTCCTATAACGAACGGTTTTACCTATAAAATTGAGAATGCTATAACGAACGAAACTCCTGCAACGAACATTATTTAATTTTTTTTTTTACTAATTTATTTTTTTTTATTACAAGCATTAATGATATTCTTTATTTCAGGGGTTTAGATGCATATTTATGCACTTTTTTACAATTTTTTCAATTTTATATTATATTTTTCAGTGTTAAGTGGTTGTATTTGGGGGCCTGGAACGGATTAATCCTATAACGAACGAATGCTATAACAAACAAGGTTCTAGAACCAATTAGATTCGTTATAGTGACCTAGGCGCCTAATTATCTACCAAACGAAGCATTTGTGGGTAATTGTATTGGTTAAAATACTTGAAAAATATAAATTTCCAAAGGAAATGTTATAGAATGAATTATTTTCAGTATTTTTCCTCTTTCTCCCAATGTAAAACTCAATATATAAGTAGGTGCTGGCAACTTCTAAATATTTTTGGTAGAGGTGTAGTTTAGGGTTAACAGCAGGAGTTTGTTGATTTTCTTTATTTTTGCTATATTGTACTTATTGTTTTGATGATTTTAAGTATACCCTGTATTAAAAGAAACGACAACTTTCTAGTATAGTTTTAATTATGTTGTTTTTATTTACTCTATCCCGCTTCACAATTCTCCTCCCGGCGCCATTTTTGTTGTTTACCTCGCTGAATCCCTCTTCAAGAGACGTTTCCTATTAATGATGGTGAACGTCTCCTGATGTATATCAACCTCAATAGTAAGGTAAGTTGTTTAAAACATAAATTAACACGATAATACTTAGAACCTAATAAAACCTGACCTAACATAACCTACCTGTGGGTATGTTAGGTCAGGTTCTATTAGGTTCTATGTATTGTTGTTTCCATTTCTGTATTTCTTAACATGCTATTAGTGTGTACAAAATTGTTCAACCAATCAACAAACAACCTCTGGTGTTAGCCGTAAACTACACCTTTACTCACCACCCAAGGAAAAAACACTCTTAATATTTTTTGAGTTGTGTGAGTAACCAACACAAGTTTTGGCTAATATATAGGACTAATCCACCAGGCTGCATGGCACCGATGGGGCCATATCATCTCACATCCAGAAAATGCCTCAAATTCCACCATATCATAGTAAGTTCTTTCTGTTTAATATACCGGGGAAGTTAGGTAAGGTTAGTCCTATATTACCCAAATTGTTTTTAATGCTGTTGATAGTTTGTACCAATGTAACACTTATCTTTAAAAAAATACATACTACCAAACATTCATTATAAACTTCATGGATTTAACTTAACGCTAAATAATATAATTCTAACAAATATTCAAGGTATATACCATGGTGTATTGGAGAGCCTGACTGGTGATGAGGGCAACACACCGCGATTGATATATGAATTATTAAAATATATTTCTTCAATATTAAAGTAAATCATTATGATCTATTTAAAATTATACATATTTTACCAATTACTTATAACCAGACATTAAAAATCATAGGTTATACAGAGATTATACAAGAATCGCGATTCTTGTATAATCTCTGTATAACATGATAATAACATATGACAATATTGTGTTTAGAATACTTTTATAAATACCATACCGAAAAATATCTTCATTTAAAAAAAAATATATATATACACATAACCGATTTGTATGTTTATTATTAAAAGATTTATTTCATTACATACTTAATATAATGTACCTTATAAATTACATAACTACAGATACTAAAGAACATAATTAAAGGTAATGATTGATAAAGGGTTGAGGGTGTGTGTGGCAGCAGTGTGGACTGTGGCGGACCGGAGTCAGTGTAGGGTCAGTCAGCTGGTGGCGTTAGTGTTGCTCTAGTGTGTGTAGTGGCAGACCTCGCTCCTCCAGGATTCTCAAGTTCACGCGAATAAGGATGGATTCCGTTGAGGGGAACATAAAGTTGCTTCTTCAGGGGAAAGATGTGGAAGAGTCACAGGAGTTCTGCGATTTCACTCTTGATATGCAGAATGAGGTGACAGGTAGGTTTGGCCGGGTGAGAGGCCAACTTCACCACCCTCTTCTGACTTAGTAAATATTTAGGTAGTGGCTGTTGAAAGGGAATGTATTTTTACGGTAGGTCCGCTCATGCCTGTCAGTGAGAATTCAGGCTTGATTTCTTCTCGACACCGACTTGACACCTGTGGCTTATTAGTGCAACAAAAAGCCATTTATCAGATACTGTAACTTCCAAACTAACCAAATAATATGAAGTCTCTGCTGACCTACTGCATTCAAACCAAGTCAGTAAATACAAAATCTAAATTAACCTCCCTTAACCTTATCTAACAAAACTCTAACACCTGGTCACTGACACATGACCGGACGTGGTTTAAGAACTGCTGTAATAAACCTTTGTCGCTTTCAGTGGTTTAACTTTGACTTCATTCTCATCTGTTCTGAAGAAGGTGTCGGTAGTGGGGCCCAGATTGATAGGCTATGGTGATGGTAGACGGTAGTTGTGGTGAACGTGTTAATGAACAGATTAGTGGGTGGTGGTAGTAACGGTAATTTGGTGGTAGGATGAATTGGGTGATTGGTGGTGTAGACAGTATTGGACAGATAAGGTTGGGTGGACAGTAGTGGACAGATGTGGTTGGGTGGACAGATATGTTTGGGTAGAAAAGTATTGGACGCATGGTTCGGTAGACAGTATTGGACAGATGTGGCTGGGCAGACAGTATTGGACACATGGTTGGGTAGACAGTATTGGACACATGGTTGGGTAAACAGTATTGGACACATGGTTGGGTAGACAGTATTGGACACATGGTTGGGTAAACAGTATTGGACAGATATGGTTGGTTAAGCAGTATTTGACAGATTGTGTGGACAGGTAGTATTGGACATATATGGTTTGGTGGGTAATTTGGGCATATTATGTGGGTGGTAATTTTGGATCGATTGAGTCAGTGTTAGTAATGGACTGATCGGGTCTATAGCGGTAGGAAATGGGCAGAGTGGATTGTGGTGATGGGTGGTGGTAGGCAGGGTGTGGCAACATACCGTTCTTGGGTTGTGGTGGCAGTGGTGTAGGCAGGTGGTCGGGGACTTGATTAAACTTTGCAATGCCAGAAGAGTGTACAGCGTATTTAGATGTGACTCACTTTAATGGACAAAACATTCTTTGTATGAAAATTGTATGGCAAACTATATCTTTCCTATAACAGAATTTTAATGCACCATCCACTCATTAGTATATTAGTATGCAGAGGGTGTATTGTTTGTTTGTAAGCTGTACTTTGTAACCACTTCCCGTTCACTGAAAACCCGTCTAGCTGCAGGGCCCAGATGGAGTAACGTTATACGCTATATTTTACTATATTCTTTTTAATTGCGTTTGCGGTATGTAATCGGTTCATAGTAATTTCATATTGGAAAATGGGGTTTTATTTTTCGTCTGCATTAATTTATTAAAAGATCAGTGAGTAAATGTGCACTAGAAAGATTTTTTTGATAAATTTGGACGCAGAATAAGGTCAACGAATAGGTTCAGTACACAAGGAAATTTTTAATGTAGCTCAACTATTAACTTTCATCACACGACAGAAAATGACATGCCACTTTAGTGGGATGATAGATAGACGAGACATTTATTCAGTAAAACTGTCATGCGACTTTACATTGATTCTATGTACACAGACTGCAGGTATACAAACAATGGTAAACAGTACATACATTCAACCTGGTTAGCCCGAGACTAGTTTGAATAGTCGTCCGTACATTTGCCAGTGATTATCTTAGTAGCTTAATATATTTTTGGGGGGGCACAGTATGAGATTTGTTAAACGTTTGTTTGGTGTTCAAACTGGAGGCAGAAGTCTTCATACATTGACTTGTTTCGCCGTAATGCCGACCTGTATGAAGCTAAAGCTTTTTGGAATGTAAGAGTGCGTGTGAGTGTATAAACCTGTTCTCGGGTACTGTAGGGTACTTTTAAGGAAAGTGGGGGTGGTAAGGGGGGTCACTGTGTGTACCGTTAATAGGAGTGGTGGTGGGGGTGAGGTAATGACCAGACCGTTGTCGATGACCGCAGTGTCCGGCCCCGCTCTGGGTTAGTTTACGCATTATGGGTTAAAGTCTAATTTCTGTTCTGTTATTCTTTTTAATTTTATCTGCTAGGAAGCTGACAAACTAGTCTAATCTTGCTGTATTATGAGTTTGCCTGCTCGTGTTATAGTTAGCCGAATCGTGTTACGCTATGGATTAGTCAAATCTCATAGCTTGTGTTAACCTTGTATAACGGGTTAGGATACTTATTAATTTGTGCTGTAGGTAAAAAATAATATTCTCGTGGGCTCGCCTAATCGTCTTGAGTTGTTATTGGTATCTTATTCGCACTTTAGATAAATCTTTTATAAGAACATAAGAAAATAAGGAGTCTGCAATAGTAGGTGTGTGCTAACCCAGCATGGTTATACTTATAAAATAGTCTAATGTAATGGAGACGTATGGTGTAATGGTCAGCATGTTCGCCTCGCAAGCGAGCGAACCCGAGTTCGATCCCCGGGCAGGGTGAAACTAAGAGCAAGTTTGTCATTTGCCTCTGTCTACCCACCAGTAAATGGGGTAATGGTTAGCCTGTGCAGTTGGCGAGTTGTCCGGTCTTCTTGGACTATTCCTTGACACTGGGTCATGCAGCTCGTTAACTTAAGGTGTGGTTGTTGTGCTAGAAACAGCTTTTACATCTTAAACAAATTCACGCCTAGATGGCCCTTGGGCCGGCCATCCTCATTACACGAGGGGCAACTATTATTATTTATAGCCTATTATAGTCATGTTACACTGACAGAAGTTGGGCTTGGTAATTGGGTATTTGTTATAGCCTTTATGTGGATCTTGATTAATACTTGTGTTTTATAAAGTCTAATCGCGTTTCTAATGTAATACCCGAGACAAGATGTACTGTACTGTAGGTGGCCATTTACAAATTTCCAAAAAGGACATTTTGTTATATATTTTTTGCGACATCTATTTTTTAACCTAAATTAAGTATGTTTAATGATGAGTTGAAAATATATAAAAAGTTGTATAAAATATACAAAATATACTTAGAAGAATTGTTGATTTGTCAAATATCACTATAATGTGATGAATGCTATTTTGTGGTCATTTTTCTAAAATTTCATTTTTTCAAACGTACTGTATATCTTAAGTACATGTATTCATACAGTATAAATAAAGACCTGAAAGAAATTAATATTCCTTTTTACTCCTGCTGAAACAGCACATGCTAACAAAATTGAAGCAAGAACAAAAAAGTCAACCACTGCACTGCGGCCTTGGGCAGACTGACCATCTCGGATGTGTTGACGGTGTTGACAACTTGGCTTGTATGTACACTGTGGCTCCTCAGCAGTGTTGACAACGGCAACTACATATAATAAAAATACGTTAACGGTTATTATGGCCTTCAGTTCCCGCTGTTTTAAGTACACCTAAGGTAATTTATATAATTATTTTTAGTCAGACAAATTAACGTCTGGCTCGAGGTAGCGCCTGACGGAGGACAGAGTGCTCAAAAGCCGGACTGTCAGGCCTAAAGCCGTACGTCTGGCCACCGTCCTTTAGGGGGGCGAACAGGGGCGACCGCCCAGGGCCCCGCGGGGCCCAGCACTAGACCCAGTGACCTCGGACACATTACCTGTTGACTGGTTAATCTGACCTGACGGCTTACGCCACCATCACAACCGTGATCTTACCATCCATAGCGACAGTCCCATGGGGGTGGGTTCCTGACCGCATGATCTGACTCCATAATCCATTGCACTCCACTCCACACAGCCAGTCCACCAGGGTCAGTAACCAGCAAGGCCGGAGTCAGGAGTGGGCAAAGTGGGCAGCTACCCAGGGGCCTCCACATTTCAGGGCTGGCCGACTTGAAACCACATGAATGACTCCAGTCATGTCTCACTTTTGTGTGTGTGTGTTGGGAATTTGTACACTATCAATAAATATACAGTTAATTAAAAATTCTCAATGTTCTAATTTCCTCAATATAACTGCATATGGCTTCAAAATTCTCCAAGGAAGTGTTCAAAATTTTCCCGGGGGGCTTACAGCGCCCCCCGGAACTCCCAGATGTTTAACAGTAGGCTCGCTTCACTCGCCACCCCACCCTCTTGGGTAATTATAATGAGGGGGGCCTCCACAGGTCCAAATCCGGCACTGGTAACCAGTGAGATCAGGTTGTGTCCTGTCCTGTGAGCTGTGACTCCTGCCTTTTGAGTTTTATGGATATACTTTTTTGTGTAAGAAACATGGCAAGCAGATATATATATATATATATATATATATATATATATATATATATATATATATATATATATATATATATATATATATATATATATATATATATATTTATATTCTGGGGCCCCGCAGTGGCTGAGTTGGCCCGGGCCCCGAACCCTCCTAGGGACGGCCCTGAGGACAGGCGACATTTGTTGTCACGTGGTCTATTTGTGCGTGACTCCTACACTCCACTAATGCACATTAAAATTGGTCACCATTAATGGGAGGTGAGGAGGGGAAGGGACATATAAACACTCAGGTAAGTGGTGCTAATCTGTTAGCGTCTGATGAAGTTTGACATTTTATCAGATATTTGGGGAGACAAATATCAGATTGCATTTCATAATAAACTTAGCTAACGTGAAGGAGAAACTTTGGTATGTTTATCAAATAATGCTACTCCTTCCCCACTGGTGTAGGTGGATCAGGAGGTTAAAGTGGGTCCCATGAGCCTGAAGGCCCGATATTGGCAGTGCAGATCAGATTTTTTTTCCGGGTTATAGCCCACCCGGGCACAGGTCATCGACCCACAACGGGGCCTAGGGGGCCGGAAAACCAGCTTTTTGAAATGAGACATTGTATGAGTATGGAAACATAGAAGAAGGCAGAGCATTCAACAGTTTGACCGTGTTAGGAATGAAGGAGGTACTATAACGGGTTATTCTAGTGTGACCGACATCCACAGAGA